GGTCAGAGGGAGAAGCAGACTCCCCGCCGAGCAGGGAGCCCGATGCGGGACTCGATCCCGGGACTCCAGGACCATGACCTGAGCCGAAGGCAGTCACCCAACCAACTGAGCCACCCAGGCGCCCCTGTAGTATATTTTATTTAATGGAATTTGCCTGCTTAATAGCTTAACCTCCAGTTTACTGCAGTATATACTCTCTCAATCTATTGCAAGTTTAATGCCCCAATAGGATTCTGGAGTTTCTAGGTTTATTATAAGGACAGTCAATTATCAGCTTTAGGGATATTTCACTGCACCTCAAAAGCCTCACACCACATACGCCTTTACCAAGGCCACATGACAGCTGTGCTCATCAAATCACTTAGGTCACTCAAATTCTATCCATAGGCCTCCTGTTGTAGTGATGACCGGGCCGTGACTCTGTTAAACTCGTACTTAAACAGGAAGTCAGTCCCCCCGGATGCAGGAGGGAAGCAGAAGACCACTGGAGGGCCCTGGGTGAGCCCCGAGGAGCTGGTGTTGAGACCCAGGTCGCTGGTGTTCAGGCCCTATTCAAACAACGTTCGAGTCACTGAATGAAAACATGGCCCACGCAAAGAAGATACTCCCACATTCTTATGTGTAAGACCGCACTTTTAACCCTCTGTTGGTGAGCAAATCACATGGCCTGGGGGACCGGCTATGAAGACGGCGGGAGGGACTACGGACGCCCCGGCCTCTGCAGGCTTACCTTGTCGGCGCTTACCTGAATATCGTCCATGGGCTGTGAGCATTCTGCGCTCTCTGCGCTATCGCGGTAGGACCCCATCTCTGAATTCACCACCTCTCTGTTAGCCATCATCAGGACACTCATTGGTTCCCGTGGACGCACCTGTGAAGGTGCTGCATCCTTTCCTACACTGGTCCCCTTCGGATTTCCAGTCACCTGCACTGTAGACACACCAATGTAAAGATCTTTGGAATTCCACTTTACTACAGGCTGAGATCCAGAGGCTTGGAATCCTGCAGTCTCTGGAGTGGGAGGGGAGGTTTCCCGGATGCAGTCCCTCACTCCTTCACTGGGGCTGATTGTCTCGGGGACACACTGCTTAGAACTAGGGCTCTGCTTCCTGATATTTGGCTGTTCCAGGCTCAGTGCAGTGGAGAGCAGCTTCTCCTGCCTTGCCTGGAAGTACTCAGGGTTCAATTTATGCTTTTTGGGAGCTGGATAATCTTTGTGGCTCTCACTGCTGTAGTAATTAGAGGGTTCAGAACGAGGTCTTCTCAGCTCTGAAAAGTACAGTAGAAAGGATAGTCAGGACAGGCGATAAAATTAGGAATCCTAAAGAATTAACACTTTCTCTATGCCTGAGAGACACAAAGTGCAAAGCCGGAACTCAAGACATGACCCTAACATTTAAATATTCCCCAGTAGCATATACTGTATTCAGATAGTCCTCCTCCAAAATTTGTGTTTCTTTCTCGAAAGGACACAGATTTTTTTTTTTTTTTTGCTACTTTCTGCATTTATTTTTGGGAGGGGTGGGGGGAGCAGTAGGCATTCTTACAGCTAAAAGAAAAATTGGAAACATAAAAACAAACAAAAACCAAACAAAAAACAAACCCTTAAACATATGTGAATATCCTATGGACTTTTCTGAGGGTAGCTGCATGAAAGCAAATGGGAAATCTGTCAAGTTCTGAGATGTAGTAATTTTGAATGTTTACCTGGATTGGTACTTGCAATAACGGTGACTCCTTTGGGTATTTCTGGAGAGCCGATGGTTTCGCTGTGCCACTGGGTCATCCAGCTATCCGTGTTAGGCTCTTCACTTGGAGGACAGTGTATTCTGGGGTTCTGCCCCAGCTGAGCCTGTTCATCTCTCTGCAGGTGCTCCAGACACTCTGCCAATTTCACATGACCCCTTGACCTGGCAATTCCCAAAGGCAGCCTTCCTAGAGAGTCAGGAATAGAGATGGCCCGACGGTCCCACTTGTACAGAACGACAGCAGCTTCTAAGTGCCCTAGAGCACATGCCCACATCTAAAAAACAGCAAAACAAAGCAAGCTTTCTCAGTACGGGTTAAAAAACATATTCCACTTTTGCTATTGCTGCCAACTGACAAATCGGCCCTTGCTGGCAATCTCAGTGGGGCCATAAAACATTACCATATCCCTATCCCAGTTAAGAAGAGTTCAGGAATAAATGAACCTATTCCTTACCAGAGGAGTACAGGAGAAGTGGTCCACATTCAACGGGTCAACTTCCAGTTCCAAATCAATGCTATCTGCATGCTTTGTGCTGTAAGGGATAAGCACCAGAAATTACTGCACAATGAATCAGTGTTCAAGAGAGACACCAGAATGTTATAAAACCCACAAAAATGAAACCAAAGCGGGCACCTAACATCCCTGATGTGAGGAAATAGAGCCCCTAATTTTGTAGGGTGGTTTGGACTGGCGGTCCAGAGGAAACAGAAGTACAATGTTTAGTTAGTACCTCAGTCCACATTTCTTGGGCAGAAGTTCATAAAATTCCCTTGGCAACTGTCCTCAGAGAAAGCCCTTTGCTCACAGGCCATGGTCACACTCACTGAATGACCAGATTTCTCTCCACCAGTGGAAACAACACTCAGGAGGAAGCTGCAAGCTGTTGAGCAAGGACGACCTCCAGCTGTCCACACCCCACCCTTACCGCCATTTGATGAGGGTCTGGATGAGGGTGGCGTAGCCCTGCGCGGCAGCCAGGTGCAAGAGGGTCATCCCGCGGAAAGTCTTTGAATGGATCAAGTGCTTGGACTTGGCCCAGCAGGCTCGGCTCATCATCTTCTCACACACGACAACCACACGGTTCTCGAAGCAGCTGCCCAGCGTCCCAGGGCCAGAAGCGCACTAGAAGGAGGAAGCTCGCCTTAACGACTGAGGACCAAGGGCCTCTCCCTGTCAAGTCAGCCTCTTCGGGTGGGAGAAACAAATGCTTTACGATTAGCCACCCACACTGGGAAACACCAAACTGCACAGAAACTGAGACTAGAATGTGCTTGGTTCAGCTCAGCGGCACGTGGCCACGCTCGTGGCACAGGGTCATTTTCCGTAACTCTGAGAACCCCAGAGTCTGTCTATCACAGCTGACACTCTGATTATGAACGTCATGAGGCTCCATCTTGGGGAAAGCGTATACCACTAAAAGAAAAGGTGCCACCAGCCTCCAGTTGAAGTACACGCTGTAGACTGTGGGCTGGTAGGAGAGCAAAGCAGGGTAGCCATCCCGGTTCTTGCATCCAGGGATACACCTGGACCTTTGCCTCCCTTGCTCCTCATTAGGAGAATTAAGTCACTTAGAAGGGGATTTTTTTCCCCCCAAAGAAACACTTTTAAAAATCCAATAACAATCCCGTCCTTTGGGGAAAGCGTTAGAGATCTTTAGAGAGAGATCACAAACGGGCGAGGGGCAGAGGGAGAAGCAGACTCCCCGAGGAGTAGGGAGCCCAATGCGGGGCTCGATCCCAGAACCCTGGGATCATGACCTGAGCCGAAGGCAGACGCTTAACCAACTGAACCACCCAGGCACCTAAGATCTTGAAATTTAAGTGTTATAAATAACAATAGAGGCATACAGGAAAGAGAAATTCACGAATTTTAACTGTGGCTTTCTTCTCTTGATTCAGTGGTAAAGCAAGAAAAATAAAATCAAACTTAGTTACCTCAACAGTTTATCTGAGTCTCTGTGATGGCAGCTCTCTGCTGAACATCCCCCCCCCACATAAATGATACTTCTAGCCTGATCCTTACCTCTGGAATTATTTAAAAAGTGTTTGTTTTTTTTTCCAGTAATAAAGCCCACAAAATTCAATTACTACAGAAATATTGTTGCTTCTCATTGTTTTTTCACTTTTAGGTCCGGGAAAAAACGCCTACAAAAATGAAAAGGCAGGGGCGCCTGGGTGGCTCAGTTGGTTAAGCGACTGCCTTCGGCTCAGGTCATGATCCTGGAGGCCCGGGATCGAGTCCCGCATCGGGCTCCCTGCTCGGCGGGGAGTCTGCTTCTCCCTCTGACCCTCCCCCCTCTCATGCTCTCTGTCTCTCATTCTCTTTCTCAAATAAATAAATAAAAGAAAAAAAAAAAGGAAAAGGCAGATGATAGATATAATGTCATCCTCACTAGGGCTCTTAAAAGAGCACAGGTGGGTGATCCCAACCTGCAGTAGAATGACCTTGACTCAAAAGGCCCAGGCAGAGCCGCCCCACATGTACCAAACAGACACATTCACAAGCTCATGGAAGTTATGGGTCAGTAAGCAAGGAGGGAATTTTTTTTTTTTTTTTGCATTAACAAAAACAGCCACATCTTTATCATGAAAGGTGGACACAGGTATGTATTGAAGCCAACCTGGGACTAGTCCAGGAATGATACCAGTACCAGACAAAGGACTTGTGACCCACTGCCTCCCTAATCAATAAGACACACACAAGACGAAAGGTGAAGGTCAACGCAAGCTGGTACCTGAGCTTGGCTTCCTCCATTCCCAGTCCCGTTGCCCCCTCCACTGCTGCCTCCTCCACTCCCCTGCTTGTGCTGCTGGGACCCCGTCATCTCAGCCATCCTCCTTTCCATCTGCTCCAGGCGCTCCAGGATGGACATCCTGAACTGGTTATCTAGGGAAGAAGAGGGAAGAGTGAGGTCGTGTTCCGGAAGAAGAGCAGTCGACGTGGGGCCTAGTCAAGCCTGCAGGACTGCCATCAGCCTAACGGAACCACAGAGGTCTGTCCAGGCCAGACTACCCCAGCATGGGCCTGAGCCTGACGCCTCCCACGAGACTTGCAGCGTCTACAGTAGCTCAGAGTTCTCCACTAAAGGAATAGAAAATCCCTTTCTGTTAAAGTCCTGGTTTCACGTTCCTGGTACCCCAGTTCCTTGCCAAATTCCCCAATGGAAGCCTTGGAGAGATCTGGTAGATAAGCCCCTAGAACAAATAAATGAAATGAGTACTATTTAATTTAAATCAGTGGAAGAAGGGAAGATGTGTGTGCATCACTGTGCATAAACAGTGTGTATAAATAAATTATATATACATATATTTTTTAAGACGAGTATCTGTTTTACCTAAACACTGGCGAAAAAAATATTTTATTTGCTGATCATTCACTGGTTGAGACCCTTACACATTTCCTTTAACATGTGACAGTCTTTTGAGACCAATACAACCAAGTGCTTCACCTCTACATAAGAAAAACATCAGGCCATTACCGCTGGGGCTAGGATTGTAACTCAGAGAAGTCTGTGGTCCTGTACCACATTACTAAGATTAGACTCTCTCTCTCCCTCCACATTCGTGCATTTACACCCACATACGTGTGCACGCACCCATGCATATCACAATTTGGGTTGCATGCATACATAAGAAAAGGAGCTAAGACCATTATTAAAATCATTAGCACCTATATTTATTCAACAAATTTTAAATAACACTGTGCAGATATTTAGTAGGAAACTGATCAGAAAAGGCCTCGTCCTGCTCTAGTAGGGGAAGCAAGCAGGATAATGTGATGAGGAACAATAGGGTGCAGCTAGAACTTAGGTAAGTCAGGAAAGGCAACACTTGAGTTTGACCAGAATGAGCAGCCACGTCTGCAAGAGCTGGGTGAGTTACTAGCAAAAGCAAAGGCTCTGAGGCAGGGCATTCAAGGCGCAGAAGGTGGGTGGCTGGACCACAGCAGAGAGGAGAGCGCAGAGGATGGAGCTGGAGAGGGGGCCAGGACCAGACAGTATGCAGTTCAGAACCTTGGCTGCGCCACAGAAGAGTCGTGTAGCTTTGAACAAAACCTTTAGTGCCTCAGTTCCCTCAGCTCTTAACTGGGGATGGTAATTGTACTTACCTCAGGGTTGCTGTGAGGACTGAGCGAGTTTGTGCAAACTTGAAGAACGTATCAGTTCCACGTCATCATCATCTTCCAACAAAGGAGTTAAATGTCTCTAGGGATTGACTGAGCAGCTGTGACAGCCTATTCGGCCCCCAGATGGTTAATGGCATAACTATTTTCAAAATGCTACCACCTGAATCACGAAAAGGAAGAACCCAGGACGGGAGTACTTGATCAGTGTACCTGGCCATCCTGACTATAAATCCTGACACCAGTGAGTCACGTTTATTGATTCTATAAGAAATAAAACAATGGGCGGGGCCGACACTTGGAGAAAGTTTCTCATGTGCCAGTCACCGTCTGATCACTTTACAAATATTAGCCCATTTACTCTCCACAATAATCGTGAGGTAGGTACTGTTCTCACCCTCTTTTCACAGAGGAGGAGACTGAGGCAAAGAGAACGAATCTCCCTGGCTCTGGGGCCTGGAGCTTAACCCCGATATGACACCAACAGGACACCACAAGCTTCTCTTGTGGGAAGAGAAGACGCACAGAATTAGTGTTACCCTTGGAAAGAGAACTTTTTCCTTACAAGAACAAGACAGTAAATACCTGTTTCACAGGAAAATTTTCGAGACTGGCTGTCAAACGGATTCCACTTTACTAAACCACAAAGCCAGAGGAGGAAGACTGCTGTTCAAAGATGGTGATATTATTTTCAATAAAGTTATTTCCAGGAACCACACTAAAAGAAAAGTCCTCCCCCTTTAAAAGTGAAAGAGGACGTCTCTGTGCCCATTGCACACAAACACACGGATACAACAAACACCGAGGCCCCTGTGCTGAGCATCTCAGTGGCCTGGTCACCGATGGGAAGTTCCCTGAGTGAGTCTGTGTGTGATGCACTGCGAACGGTCCTTGTCATCCTGTGACCCTCGTGCCTTCGGGGGTGGTACCAGAATCCTTATCCCATGCCCTCTCCCTTAAAAGGGACATTTTGCAGAATGCAGGACTCCTTTATGTGGAACCAAATGAAGACTACGAATCCTCCCTTTTAATTAGAGTTTGACTCCAGGTCGAATGGCAGTGATGCCCTGGGGCCCTTGTCCCTGCTTCTTCCCCATCATGCCCTGTATCTACTCACAGAAACTCGTGCAGTCTACGGAAACGGGGGAAGCTGCTGTAGCCACCTGCTGATGATTTCTTCTGCAAGCCTACAAATCCTGCACCTATTAGACGAGTGTTCAGAATCCATTTCACTGGTTTCGAGCACTTGTTTGGAGCCTGGTGGCCAGCACTGACCTCCCGTGTCACGCACAGGGGCAGAAGGGCAGAGAGAGTAGTGTCCGGCTGTGCTCTGCCCGGGTGGGTGCTGCAGGGTGCCTGGCCTGCTCCCGGCCCCAGGGAGATGGCTCTGTTCCGGCAGTTGCCCTGCCACAGTGAGGTCAGCCTCTTGCACGTGCCCGTCCCCCTGCCCAGCATGGACACTATGGGGACAGACCCTTCCTGACATCACAGAACTGGGTCCCGCGCACGGTGTCTCCAGATCAAAACACTAAGAGTTACAACCCCGTGGCTGCCACCGAGGTCCCAGCTTCTGTTCTGGGCTGTCTGTTCAGCAGCATCCCCATGGCTAACCATGCAGTTAGCTCTCCCACGTTATTAAGCTGCTCTGAGAAGCACTTCATGAAGATACTCAGAAGCAATTATTTGCCTCTTAACAAAATTATATCACGCATAATGGCATCTCTGAGCCTCTCAACTCCAAAGGGGGAAGGTAGTGATAATTAAAATAAGAAACAACCTCAAATGGAAACAATTGAGCTGGCATCCCGGTGCGTATGGGCCTGTTGCACTGTGCTAACCGAGAATCACTGGAGCCCTCTGATGCCACTTCTTCTCCTCTGAGTGCGGCCAGGGCCCCGCTCTGGCCACAGAGCTTACTCAGATGGATGAAATGAGGGTCTTCACGTCTCCATTCCTGGCCAGTCAAAAGCAATGACCGTATGCTTGTTTTGGTTTTAGTTTTATGATGATGTGGAAACTACTGTAAAATATTTGGCACACGCGGAGCTATATTGCCTTCATTGTATATTATGTGTGGTCATGGGATAAAGGGAATATAATTATTAAGAAGCAAAGAAAATTTTTCTGATGTTACAGTAAAAAAGTTGATATCAGATTCATTTATTCATGTACAAGTGTTTATTGAACACCTTCTAGGTACCAAGCACTGGGGGTGACTTAAACATTAGTGAAGATGTCCCTGCCCTCGTTTGCTGGCCAACAAGTAATTTCTGCAGCCTGAATAAACTGGATTTTTGAATTAATATGTGGGAGGGAGGGGTGAGAAGAGAGAAAACAAATAATGCGTAGACCTAGGAGGCTGACAAATTTGGCCTCAGCTCTCACCCATGACATTTCAAACAAAGCCAACAGTGACTCAGCTTTGAGGGATTACAAGCCCCATGTCCTTAGGACAGTCTGAGTGAAGCAACCAAACTACTCCTCCGTGAGCACTAGACTGCACAAAAAGCACGCCAAAAGTACCAGTTTCCACGAGCACCTTAGACTCCAGAGGCCCCAGCAAGGGAAGCCAGCTGTTCAGCTGGAGCTCCCGCCTGGCCACCCCCAGCTTTCCGTTCCCTTCTGGAAGGATTAGGGCTACGTCTGTCTCACTAAAACAACAAGCTGCTGCTTCCATAGAAAGGTTCTCCCACTCTTCCACTGCCCCTGGAGAAGCCACATTATAACCCCTGCCTCTGAAGCCTGGGGCCAGGTGAGGTCCGAACACCGGTTCACTTCTCCTGGAGGGGAAGCTCCAGGTGTGCGTGCGGGCGTCCCTCCCATGGCTGATTGTCTGTGTGCCCTATAGCCACCGTGCTCGCCCCTCGCTGCCAACCGAGGCCGCCCTGACAGGAGGCTTCCGCTCATCCGGCGGCTCTCACATGCTAGGTACCATCCGAAGCACCAGAAGGATGGGTGGGCCCTAGTCCCAGAGCTAGTTCGTTTTACTTAGGAGGTGTGGGTAAGGCCCAGAGGTTGCACTTCTAACAAGTTCTCAGGTGATGCTGATGTTTCTGGTCTGGGGCCACATGCAGGAACCACTCTTAAGACCCCACTTCCCTCCATAAAAATGAATCTTCTCTCCACCTGAGTGCTAGTTAAAGAATGGTCCAAGAACGCCCCAGCTCGAGCAGATGCGCAGGTTGCTGCCCAGGGTGGACACATGAGACATGACCTCACGAAACCATGCCAGCTCCATCCACACGAGCTCTGTCAAAAACACTGGGTTGCTCACTTTCTTCTCATGGACACAGCCAATTAAGATCTGACAAAACTTGAAAACTATTTAAATTGCGCCCACCTGCACTGCCCTCTGTAACGAATCAGACACTACTTGGTCACTCCCATCGAATCTTACCTCCTCATTGCTTTCTTCTTCTCTCAGGTGACTAAATGCCGTGTCTTCCCACGTGTCTGTCTGTGTGTCTCGCTTGTCTCTAAAGCAGTCTATTTACCTGCACGGTTTCAGGGAACGAGGGCTTTTAACCACCACGCAGCAATTCCTTCCCGTGACATTCAAGACACACGCGCACATGAGCCTGCACCCCAGACAGAAAGTAATTCTGACAGCTCTGCAGCCACAGTCTGGCTCGTGATTCATTCAGCCTCTTCGTGAGCCTGTTCTGCACCCCTTTTTAGCAGAAGTGGCATTTTTAGACTGGGCAGCTGTGATGGAATAGAAGGAGCATGGGAGTAGAGACGAGAGCTCCAGGTTTAATCCTGTT